TGTTGTGTGTATGGGCTACATAGAGAAAGTTATTATTATTTTGTTACTAGTACTTCTTGTTCGGCTGAATTGGTTTGCCGATTCGAAACCCTAGAAGTGAAGAAATGTCGACGTGGCAAATATTTCCCGATTCCAGCAGCGGTGGTTTCCGGTGGGAAGTCGGCGGCCGGATTCTTCATTCTGACCCCATTTCTACGGCGCTCGAGTCCACGGCTCCTCTACCTTCCATGGCCGATCTCTTGCTCCAAGGTGATTCCTCCTGTCTTTGTCCCTTTTTTTTTTGTCGATTCGTTTGTCATGTGATGCGGAGATTACTTGCTGCTGTTTCATGAAGGATGCTCGAAGCTTGTACAACGGGAGGAACCGACGCCGCCAGGGGAAATCCCAATGTTCAGGACTGGCCTGGGGAAGTCTGTAGCCCTGAAAGAGTCTTCGATTGCGAAAGCCAAATCCATTTTAGCACATGACAAGGTTGCTTTTTCAGGTACAGGAGAGCGCGGTATTGAATTTGCTTCACTAGTCAACTTTAGCCTTACACAATCGATGCTGAAATGACTCTTTTTTTTTTTAATTAGAAAACTTGTGATTTTCTACATCTGTGGTTAGCTTCATTTCTTGGATGTCATATAGGTGAAATCATTGTCCTCTTGATTTGTTTGTTAAGAGGTGTTTTTCATCTTTGAGGATTTCAGATTATAGGCTTTTTCATTTAAGCTTCTTCACCACTGAGAATAATGTTAGTCTTGTGGGTTCACGAAAATCTTTTGAATGTTCCCTGTTCTTGGCTACACTTTAGATTTCCAGAATCTCCAAAAGCGACAAGTGGACACTGCTGGAACTTTGCCTATGTTCAGTACAGCCTCAGGGAAATCTGTCCCACTGAAAGACTCTTCAATTGCCAAAGCTTTGTCTATTCTTGGGGGTGATAATATGATGAACTCAGGTGTCTTGTTATCTCCTCTTCTCTAAAGTCTTGTTTCCGATATAGTTTTGTGCACATTTACATATCAACTTCTAGGTTACTTCTTTGTTGATATTTCTACTCGGTCGATATTAAAACTGGACAGAGTTTCTTAGTTTGGTTCTTATGAGCTGGTAGTAAACAAATAACCAACATCATCTTACTTTGTTAAGGGAATGAAGATTAGAAATGGCATGTTTTTTTGTTACTAAGCTTCTTTTTTATTGTGTAGACGTTCTTCCCAGGGAGAATGGATTTGGTGTTCCCCATACTCTTTTTCGGACAGCTTCTAACAAGAAGGTTAATGTGTCTTCTGCCGGTCTGGCAAGAGCCAGGTCATTGTTAGGACTAGAAGAAGATGATTTGAATGGTTTTAATCATGTGGACCCCTCGTTTTCTTCCCACCAGCAACATGGGTGGTCTGGGTTAAAAACTCATGAGGAGTTTGATGCTACACCGGCTCAGCACCATTCAAGAACACCAGGACAATTTGAGGGTCATGTATCTGGGAAGAGATCTGAAATCTTAAATCCATCTTTAAAGGTGCCTCAAACAAAGTTTCAGACTGCTGGCGGAAAATCATTGTCAGTGTCAGCTGAGGCATTGAAACGTGCCAGAAGCCTTCTTGGAGATCCTGAATTAGGCACTTTCTTTGATGATGTAGTGGCAGATGATCAATTTGTTACACCACAGAAAGATATTGCTATAAACAATGGAAGTGCCAACACGGGTTATGCTGCTCTTGAAGGAAACACAGGCAACAAGCATACGTCAAATAGTTTTATATCTCCTCATTGGTCATCTTCAAAGCGATTCAGATCAGTCAAATTGCAGGACCTCTCTTCAGGGAGTAATTTGATCAAGAAATTTGATGCGGCTATTGATGAGACGGATCGTGCTCTGAATATTACTCAACTTGCTACAAATGACAGGCCTTTAGCATCAGATATGGCAGTTAATAATTCCAAGGAAAACGGTTTCATTCGAAGAACTAGACAATTTGGAAGGCAAGCTGACCAGCCACTTGTCGACATAACAAATCGCAGTGACACAGCTTATGCAAATAATAAGCAAGACAATGCCCAAAAGAAAAGACTGGGAACGACTGTCTACGTTTCTCCTTTTAAAAGGCCAAGGAATTCCTCCTTTAAAACTCCTTTAAAGAAAAATGCTCAGCATGCTTCAAGTGGTAATACATTCAGGAATATTTATATGATATTTTTGTTTAACAAATTTGTTTTTTTTTTGTGAATTTAGTTGGTTCAATGGTTGACCCTGAGATTTATAATTTTTGGCATCCTGTCTATTGTCAGGTTTATCTGTCGTATCTTCTGATACACTTTATTTCAAAAAGGTGCTTTCTACAAGATATCGAGATAGGTCTCCAAGAGTATATATCAAGTATTATTTTGGAACGCATCCAAGAGCTACGACCAAGGTAAATCTTTTGTCCCTTACACATGTTCCTGAGTTATATATACCTTTCTTCTATTCACTCAAACCACACTTACGGGGTGGTTTTAGATTGATTATGTGCCAGACCATGTCAGAAGAATCAAATCAAATAATGCAGCTAAATATGTATTCTGTGATGAGTCTTCCTCTACCGTGGTTGGAGCTGACACTTTTCTTCAAATATTGGCTGAGTCTGGTGCTTCCGTACAACATGCATCTAGAATGTAACGTATCTGTCCCTTGAAATGTTTAACTTGCCCATCTTATTTGCTTGTTGTTTCAGAATAGGTCTGTGACTGTTTTCTTGCATGTGATTCTCATTCTGTTAGATAGGCAGTGATCAATAAATCTATACCTATTAACTATCTATCATTATATATATGCACTAGGTGGGTCACTAACCACTACAGGTGGATAGTCTGGAAACTTGCATGCTACGAGAAATACTACCCAGCCAAAGGCAGACGAAACTTTCTGACGGTCACCAATGTTTTCGAGGAACTAAAATACAGGTTTCCTAACCGCACAACACAGCTCGTTGTTGTTTGAGCTCATGCAAAGTCTAACATCGTTGATATACCTAATAGATATGAGAGAGAGGTCAATCACGGTCATTGCTCTGCAATCAAGAGGATTCTGAGTGGTGATGCACCAGCTTCCTCAATGATGGTGCTCTGCATATCAGCTCTTAATCCAATGACCAATAATCATCCTCATGGTTCTGATAGTGGCGGCTATGTGAAAGTAGAACTCACAGATGGGTGGTATGAAATTGCTATTGTTGTTTGGTTACCTGTTTTCTTGTCTCCTATGATCATGATTTCTTCTTAACATCTCAGGTATTCCATGAATGCTGCTCTGGATGTTATGCTGAGAAAGCAGCTGAATGCTGGAAAATTGTTTGTCGGGCAGAAGCTTCGAGTAAGTTATTTTCCTGCAAGGTTTTAATATTTTGTTTGGCAATACATTTTTTGGTTAGATCACTAATTTATAGCATGCTTACGTTCTTATTTCTTATCTGAAGATCCTTGGTGCAGGACTCTCTGGCTGGTCTACCCCAACATCACCTCTTGAGGTCTCTTTAGACTTGAATTTTATTAGAATTTCTGAAACATTCCCTTGTTGGTTTTCCCATGGTTTCATCCAACTGAACTTTCAGGCAGTGATTTCAAATACAACCTGTTTGTTGTTGAATATTAATGGGACATACAGAGCTCACTGGGCGGATCGACTAGGATTCTGTAAGTAGCTTTATGCTGTGGACCTCACTACATCCTCTGAATTGCATTTTTAATAGTGGTTTTGGGCTTTCATATTGTTTTATTTATATTGACCGTCTTTTGATATCTTCATCAAGGTAAAGAAGTTGGTGTCCCTCTGGCTTTCAACTGTATCAAGTTCAATGGGGGTCCAGTGCCTAAAACGTTGGCTGGAATCACACGAATATACCCTATTCTATACAAGGAAAGGTCAATATAGACGAGTACCTGTCAATGCAACTTGGTCCCCTGTATACTTCTTGCAAAGACTTATACTTGCTTGGTATTTACAGGTTAGGTGAAGGGAAGTCAATAGTTCGATCAGAGAGAATGGAAAGTAGAATGATCGAGCTGCATAGCCAGAGGCAAGTTTGCCAGTTGCTGAGTTTAGATTAAAACTGTGGCAAGCAATTTTTAGCAACATTTATGCGATCAATATGGCATGCATCTCTTATCTAAGGAGTGTCATGAGTAACTCATCCAAGCTAGAAAGGTTCTGTTACATGTATTAGGTTTCTACGTGGCTGGCTTTTGGGACAGACAAACAATCTTTGTAGGAATATATTAGAAAATCTTCTGGCCTTCTGAATATATATGGATTTTCCTATTACTCTAGTCAACTGGCTTTGTTGCTTAGCCAACAGGCGAGCTCAAGATTGCAGTTCCTCGTGGTTTATTCTCATTCTGACCTGCCTTTTTTTTTTTTATTTGCCTTAGGCGCTCAGCTCTTATTGAGGGTCTTATGTGCGAGTACCAGAGAGGAATCAATGGTGCCGACAGTCAGAACGACACTGATTGCGAAGGAGCCAAGGTCTTTAAGCTATTAGAGAGTGCTGCGGAACCTGAATTCCTAATGGCAGATATGAGTATAGAGCAGCTTACATCTTTCACTACATATAAAGCAAAATTTGAGGTAGAATATTGTTGTCTGCCTTTTCTCGATAGATCGTCTCGCGCCAAATTGATTATGCTTGAATCTGAACTTCAGGCAGCCATGCAAATGCAAATGGGAAAATCAGTGACAAAAGCTCTGGAAGATGCTGGCTTAGGTGAAAGGGATGTCACCCCGTTCATTAGGATTAGGGTTGTTGGATTGACGAGCTTAAGTTATGAAGGAGAACACAATCCAAAAGAGGGCATAGTAACAATCTGGGATCCCACGGAGAGTCAGGTACATTGAAATGCCTCTATATTGAATGTCTAATGCACAATCTAAAAGAAGGCACGTTTTCTGTTCATATCAGGAAGTCGTTACCATTATTGTACTGTGCATTATGAGCGTCATTCACTAGTTTGAAGCAACTTTTTCCCTGTAAATTCTTAAAACGGTTATCATTTTCTACAAATGTGGCAGATAACCGAGCTGACGGAGGGAAAAATATACATAATGAAAGGGCTAGTACCGATAAACACAGATTCAGATATACTTTACTTGCATGGCAGAGGGTCTAGCTCAAGATGGCAGCCTTTGTCTCCAAAAGCTTCAGAAAGTTTTCAGTAAGTTGTTTTGTGAACTTTGTTTCGTTGACACACCCAAACGGATCTCTATATTTGTTAAATTCCTGTGTTTCAGGCCCTTTTTCAACCCCCGTAAACCAATATCTTTGTCAGATCTCGGTGAAATTCCTATTTCAAGGTTAATCTCGTTCAAGCCTTTTATAAACTCTTTATCACACTTGCATTGCTAAGCTATACCCTAACATCTCTTATTTTATGGTCTAGTGAATTTGATATCGCTGCGTACGTTTTATATGTGGGAGATGCATACACTGATGTTCAGCAAACGAGGCAGTGGGTGTTTGTAACAGATGGATCCACTCAACACTCATATTCAGGGGAAATCTCGAATAATCTTCTTGCTATAAGCTTCAGCGCCCCATCCACGAATGACTTATCCATTCCCCAAATCAGCAATAATCTCGTCGGATCCGTGGTATGTACAAGCTTATTGCAAGTGGCAAAAGCGTTTTACATTGATCTCTTTGCTAAACGCTCTTTTTTTTTTTTTTGAAAAATGTTGTGGCTGTTCTTGTTTGGCAGGTAGGATTCTGCAATCTAATAAAAAGAGCAAAGGATGTGCAAAACGCCATTTGGGTTGGTGACGCAACAGAGAACTCAATCTACTTCATAAACGCAGAAGCTGCTTACTCCTCTCACCTCAAAACCAACAGTGCCCAAATCCTAAAATGGGCTAAGCTCTCTTCTTCCAACTCTGTTCGTTCTCTTTACTCGCGATTGGATTTGCTTGATTCAAAAA